ACGTAGTCTAAACAACAGTCCTGCAATAAATCCTCCTTCACGAAGGTTGTAAACTTCAGTTTGTGTTGATTCAAACGTACGATCACTGTGGAGAACATAGACTGAACCACACTGCACTTATTATTTTGTCTAGGGCTGCAGCTATCAAGTTCCAATTTTTCAATTCAATCTGGCCTACTATTTTCCTGATTAATCAATCAATCGATCTATAAAATGTGACAAAACAAGTGTGAAATGCCTGTAGAACTTCTTAAATCCAGTGTTACAGCTCAGTAGCACCACAAACTCCGTCCTCCACACTGATCAACACAAACTGAACTTTTCAACCTTGATGAAGGAGGATTTGTTGTATTAGACTGCGTTAGTTTCAGCCAGGTGTACCTAATAAACTGGACACTTGAGAGTCTGTGAAGCCACACAGTAAAGTTCCCCTTCAGACGCTTTGCTGCAGTGCTCTGTCCTCTACTTCCCCCTGCTGGACAAGGACAGGAACTGATCCAGAGTCAGTTCAGCACGTAGAAGAAGAGCAGCAGAGAGTCGAGGAAGATAAGACGGATGTAATGAAAAATGTCATGAAGGCGACATCAAAAAGAGCGAGGGGACGGACGCAGAGTGCAGTGTGTACCAGGTATCAGCCTCCTCCGGGCCATGGCCGCCGCTTTGTGGGATTCATACTCCACGAAGGCAAAACCTCGGTTCCTGCTCTTATCTGTGGAGCTGGGGTACACGATCACCTCCACCACCCCCTCCGTCACCTGGGAGACACACGAGGAGGAGAGGACCATGTAATTAGAGGGAAACATGTAGAAACTGTGTGTGGAGGTCGATGAAGAGCGCAGCCAGTAAACAGTAACTCTGCTGCTTCCTGTCCTGTGACCTGACACGCCACCTGATGTTGATGAGGGGAAATACCTGCTGCTGGACAGAAGTATTTAGACACTCGATCTCTTTGTCTTACTTTAAATGCTCTTCAGTAAACATCACCAAGCTGCTGATAAAACCAATATTGTATGGACAACCAAAATAAACAAACATCCAGGCTGATGATGAAAGCAGCTCTGTGCGTTGAGCGACGAAAAAGGTTATCGTGTTTAGGTTTGTCACCACTTTATGAATGAGCTCCAAAATGTTTAAATGTAATAGGGTTGCTGAGCTACAATAAGCTAAAGGTTACAGGGACGCTCCACATCTCTGTGTCAGACTCACTCTGTCTCTGCTCCGCTGCCTGTCGGCTGACTGACTCAGCTGAGTTGATGATGATACACTGTTCGGGTTGAGATTATGTTTGTTTTGCTTCATTACAGACTGACTGTCTGTCTGTGTGTAGAAAGTGTTGCATGAGGGTTTAGTGCAGTGTTTCCCATTAGTTTGCGAGACCATGGCGGCCCGCCATAGTGTCAAAATGAACCAAAAATATGTTGTATGTTATGTAACACATTGTGGGAGCTGCCTTGCGCTGCTGAAGCTCGCACGCTCACACGTTTTGGCTTCTGACTCAAGACAACCACTTTTCTTTTGAGGTAACTATGGTTACATTCACGGTCTGTTTCGGTCACTCGTTTGTGAGAAGCACGATTAAGCTAGCCACACCTAAATTTGGAGTCCACACGCATTCAAGCCTTTATGGTAAATCCACTGAAACGGACCAGAGCGAGCTGACAGGCAGGTTAGTGACTTTATCCTGTCAGTTTCTCTCTTTACAAAGACAAGTGTTGCAGTATGAGAGTCCTTCCTGAAGAGAGGCTGTGAAGTCTTCATGTTACGCCATACGAGAACCACATACAACATTATTTATCAAACTGGGTCAGACTTTATCATTTTTAGCGCAAGGAAACACATGTGACAAGGTCCATTGTTATGACCTGGCTCAGAAGGCCACAACAAAAGGGAGACACACCGCGGTAAACGTTTAACAAAATATATTTCTTTAACTCAAAATAAGCCTAATTAAGACTTGTGACGAAGTAAAGATGATGAAGTATGGGTAGGGCTGGATGATATGAGTGAAACTTGAAGAAATCTGATGGTTAATTGTGGTTTAAACTCGTCTTTATGGTCAACACTTGGTGCCAAACAGTGGATCACTTCACAAATCTGAGGCAGAACATTCAAAACAATTGACAAAATCTTTGTTAACAAATACGCAGTAAAATTAAGTAGAAGGTTTTTCAGTCCTTTTTCTCAACAAAATAAACATCATAATTTTATATTTATCTGTATTTTAGTCTTTTCAATGTTTTCATGCTTTTATCTTGTATTGTTTTTGTATTATTGTCTTTTGAGTATTATTGTCTTTACACTTGTTAAAGCACTTTGTAACTTGTTTTTGAAAAGTGCTCTACAAGATTATTATTATTATTATTATTATATCTTAATAAAAAAATAAGTTCTAATTTCTGTATGATTCAAGTGAATAAAATCAAACATTTATTGAATATTTACTGAACATTTCTTATTATATTATTGTTATTGTTTTACTGTGCAACATTAGGTATGGGGTATGAACATCAGTGGTTTAAGTCATGTCAGGGTAGGATGACGGATTCTTGGAAAATGTGTTTAAGGGTGTTGTAATGTGCAAGAAACAATAACTACAACTAAACAATATGTCCAGAACCAAGGCAAAGGTGGAACCTGTGGAGCGAAACAGATGGTAGTAAGTTAGCAGGGAGGTCTGTGACCTCAGCCCAGCAGCATCATCCCTAAGAATGAGATTAAGATGTTACAAATACTCTACAGGTATTCGCTCAGGTGCTCAGAGTTACTGCAATCAGTCTCAGCTCTTCACCTGCAAGGGACAGAGATTGGACACGCCCACATACGACCCCACAGGGCGTCACAACGTACAGTGTGGAAATAAGATTAATTGGATTATATTCACAGAAAGTATAAACATATTACATTAAAAGTATTATTACTTATTCTATTTTATATTCTTTGATTTAGGGTTGTTGGAAAAACATTAAATAAATTTGGTGACTTTTGTTGCCGTTTCATCACCATTTATATACAATGGGTTTATGATCAAATAGTTACTAATACTGGAGAACAACATTGTTTACAAAAGTGCAAAGTTCTTCATAGATGGCCTTTTAATTTTGCACCAAATTAATGCATTTAACAGAACCAGTGAACAGTAACCTTATCTGGACACCAATGAATCTCTGCAGGTCTAGGAAAGATAAATATCCCCACACTGGAACTAACCTTCAGATATGGTGTTGGCATTGTGTTCACACGTTGGCCGAGTCTCAATGAACTTGAGTCTTCATCAGTCTCCAATGCTTCTTCATCACACCTGAACCTGGCTCACAGTATTTACATCACAGCATCCAGCGGCCACTGAAGCTGCGAAGATGCAGCCGGCTGCTGTGTGTGTTCACCGTAACGCCAGGTTCCACATGTGTCCACATACTTTTGGCCAGTAACAGTATCCATCGGTCCACATCATGTAGTTTTGACAAGTGCTATACCAATACAAAATGTTCAAAGTGTTTTAGCCTAAGTTTTGTTTTCAGGTTTTATTTTAGGTTCATTTAAACAACGTCACTGAACCTTTTCCAAAAGTTAATTGAATCTGATGCAGTCCGATTTAAAAACTTATTTATTTCTTCAAGATTGTCACGCCTGCGGGACCTCTTAATGTGGTATCTTGGGGACGCACAAAGTCCCATTGCTTTCCTCTCCTGTGTTCCTGCTGTTAGAACTTTTTTATACCTGGTTGACCCGTCAGTCATGTTTATGAAAAAGACGCTTGTTATGATGTGAGTGTCGGGGGGGGCCGTACCTTCTTCATCTCCTCCATGATCTCCTCCTTCCTCTTGTCTTTGGGGATGGAGCCGATGAAGAGGCGGCAGTTGTCCAGACTCACACACACTCCGATGAACTTCCCCAGACGGATCTCGTAGTTGTCCAGCATCTGGATGGCTCTCTGAGCCGCTTCTCTGGACAACAATAAAATCAGCCGTTCGTTAATAATCACAAGGATAATTCACTGCAGCTCCTTCTGACAGCTGACTCATGTTGTTTAAACTGCTGATTACTGAAGTGTGTTTTGGTTAAAAAGATCCCCTGATGAGGTTTTACAGGTGAGTTTGAAGTAAATTGATTTCTAATGTTATTCTGAATAAATAATAAACTGTATTGACATGATGTTGGCGGGGCCTCAGGCTCCAGCACAAGAAGCTGACAGAACGTCTGCAGATAAGTTTGATTATTTGAGCTCATAAAATATTGTTACTGTGTAAAAACATTAAACTGTTTATGAAATGCACTCTGGGAGTCACCTGTTGGTGTACATGACGAAGGCGTAGCCGCGGTTCTCTCCGCTGAACTCCATCATCAGCCTGAACTCGTAGATCCTGCCGGCTCTCTCGAACAGGGGGACCAGCTCGTCCTCGTACATGTCTCTGGGAATCTTCCCCACAAACACCTCGCAGCCCCGTGGCGGGGGCGGGCCCTCCCAGCCTGCAGCGCCCAAACACATGGTCAAGAGAGTCGGAGCTTTTACTGCAGCTGATCCCAGGCCAGTTAAAGGACAAGTACCAAAGTACATTTGCTACAAACTGACATTACAGAACTAACGGTTGGTAATGTAACACAGGGACATTTATCACGAGTCAGGCCACATGACTCTTACTTACCTAAACTAGTCGCGTTAACCGATACCGAGGTCAGTCTAAGTATCTCAGCGAGTTCTGTTTGTGTGACAAAGACCAATAAAACAGCTTGAATAAACGGCCAGTTTGAATAAAAGCTGTCATTGCCCGTCAGCTTTTGGATCCTTTGAGGAGAAATGTTTCTGAAACGTGAAACAGAGGGGGTTCTTGTTTGTTTCTGGCCTCGTCATGAATGAACATGTTTTAGTGAGGATGTCAGTCAGGTCTCAGGTCTTCTTGTAACAGATTGGTCAGATCACGGCGGCTTTATGGAATCAGGGATCATTTAGGTTATTCATCCCTCCCACGCAGCTGGATTTCCAAGCAGGCGACTTTAATCAGACATTCCTTGACGTGAAAAAGTTTGAGAAATACTGTTGTAGATTGCTTACAGCTCTGATGTTAAAGCTGAAGCAATGGACTGACTAATCCATCACCAGGAAAAAGTTTCAGCAACATGTGTGATATAGTCTGTGGGGGGTTTGTGGTGGGAAGTGTGTCTCCCGGTGTGTGAGGTGCGCAGTCACAGAAACGTTTAGTCAGTTAGAGCTGCAACGATTACTTAACTGATTAGTCGGCTGACAGAAAAAAAATCACACTATTTTTTATTTTAGCACAATTATTTAAGCAACTTTTATAAACAAATATGTCAAACATTCCCCAGTTTGAGCTTCTCACATTTTAGGGTTTGATGCTGTTTCTTGTCAAACATGATAGTGAACTAAACATGTTTGGATGCTGGACAGTTTGGTTGGACAAATCAAGACATCTGAAGACATCCCCTTGGACTTCACTATTTAAAATATATTTTATGGCCAAATGACTAATCAAGAAAATGATAGGCAGATTATTCGATAATGAAAATTATGTGCAGCCCAACAAAACAAAATGTACACTTGAATATATCAGGAGGTAAACATCTTCACACTGTTTGGTGACTGTGTTTAGTTTCTGTAACTTTGACCGGACTGAATCATGACCCTTGGAAACATGTGTCTTGCGAAGATATTTAGTTACTGTTGGCCATTTATACAGTGAGTTTACCAGCTGTTTATGAAGCTTTTCTACCAGCGAGCTTGTATAGAGACGTAACTTATATCCGTCTTTTATGTGAAGCCCATCGAGCAGCGTTCCTGTTGGGGTTTCCGGTCTTTGGTCCCCGTTCAGCAGTTTATTTCCTGTAATGGTAGAGAGTTGTTTGTCCCACTTGTGAGGTTTAGGTTAGTTCTAGAAAGTGTAGCCTAATTTTGATGTCTTTTTGTGCTTAAGGATTTTCTTTTCATGCCACACACACTAATATATGACTAAAAGTGCTTGCGCATCTGTATCTACATTTTACGTCACAATAAAATGCTCAAAAGACGTCCTGGCCCTCCGTGTCCTCACTAGACATCTCATATTGCTGATTAAATCTCCAAACCACCAGGAGCTCCTCTACATCTGCATCTAGACCATAGAGGATGGTTCTTCATAAGAGACCCTGACGGAGCGTAAACAGGACATTACAAACGGACAAACAAACATTTAAATGTATATTTCTTCAGGTTCTTGATGTCACACACACACCTGGCGGGGGTCCACCGTACTTCCTCTGTCCGTTCTCCTGCACCATGTTGTATCCCGTCTTCTCCATCAGATCGAGCAGGGCCATCTCTTTGGCGCAGGACGCTTTGAACTCGTCCTCGCCCACCAGCGGGCTGATTTTCCCAGAGTCTCCATCCATGTCTGCGTCTGACTTTCTGTCCCCGTCTGCCCAACAGACACTACAGTCAGCTGTCTGCTTCAACATTCAGGTCATATGAGGGAAGACACCAGAGAGCTGCTCCAAACTACAGCTGAGGTGGGGAAATGTATCAGGAATCAAGCTAAACACAAGAGACTGGGATCATTTTTTTTATCTTTTTGACGCTGCGTTTCGACACGACGAATTACTGATACTCATCAGGTGTAAAACAAACACAAGTTACTTTAACTGAACTAATTCAATATCCTGATCAACAAAATATTAATCAGAATATTAAAATAAACATTTTGATGACTTACCAAGAATATCCAGCTTGTACAAGTTTTACTATATTACTATTTTATAGGCTAAAAGGAATAACGGACAGATCAATCAATATTACAAAGAACTAAAGAACGGCACAAGTTGCTATAAGTGATTCTGGTTAAACTTTAAATTGTCTTTCTTTTTTGAATTGTCGTTTAAGTGGGACGTCATCAATTAATTTTCAAAGAGTAACTCTATCGCAGACAAGAGGCGATAAATGTGATTATTTTCTGGTTTCTTTGCTCCCCACTGACAGTAAACTGAAACGATTTGGGGTTGTGATCAATAGAGAAACACAGATCGACATGTTTTAACATTTTATGGACCAAACAACCAACCGATTAATCAGTGATTTATCACTGCAGCAAGCCAACAAAACCTAAGTTCAACCAAAATTAAGTTCAGTATAATGTGCAAACCTGCTTTAACGTCACATTTCAGTTTTATATATTATTTATAAGCAGCAGGGCAGATTAATATACCCGGCACACATCACTCAGAGCTGCAGATGAATAACTATTGAATGAGTTTAAATCCAAAAGTTTCCTGAAGAACTGATAATCTGAAATGTGTTGTGTTCACTAAAATGTTCACACGTTATTTAGTCGATGCTAAAAGTGCAAAGGGAGACATCCATTGTAAACACATGAATCCAAACACTTGCATTAATAAGATTTCAGAAATTGGAAATGAAGATACATTAAACTAAAAAACACCCAACACCACTGTGTGTTGCTGACGGCTGTAGGTTAACTTTGATTTAGGATAAATGAAGACCTTCTGCATTATATGTCACACGATTACTATCACTGCAAGACCTAAACCTGCCACAGATAAATTTACTATAACCTGAAACCCTGCTTTGACATCACATTTCAGTTTAATTTATTAATATTAAGGCTTACTTTACCCAACACAGTCTCAGAGCCACAGACAAACTATGATATGATTTAACGTTAAATCCACTTGCAATATACAAATCCCACATTGACACTCACTACTAATTTTATTTTTACTTGTGAAAAGCTTCCCAAAGAACATAATCTGAAAAGATAATGTTGTTAAAGCTAGCTAACGTCAGCTGGCTAACCTTAACCTAATATAGATTTCTCTCTCTTTTTCTATGGATTTGGCCAACACTAACGGTGCAAAAGGACACATCCATTATCAAAACATAAATCCTGACGCTTGATCTACTTTAATAAGATTGTCAGAAATGACCAATGAAGATAGTTTAACTAAAGTTACTCTTCAATGTGCTGTTTGGCTAACTTCATCTGTTACGTCCTGTGGACCGCTCAGAACCGTGAGAAAGTCCCGAGTCCCGACCAATAAGCAAGTATAAACATTATTTTAAAGTAATTAGCTTGCTAACCAATATGTGTAAACTGTATGAATTATGCCAAGTCGTAAACAACAGCATGAAGAAGCTAAAAGCTAGCTCAGCAGCCTTTATGCTAGCGGCTCTGTAACGTAACGGTAACTTTGGTTTCCCACGCAAAACTTCTTCCAACCGTTTTTAACTGAGCTACCCAAGAATAAACTCCTACCGGCTCCGACTGTCGACATTCCTCCTCACAGTGAAACGTTTTTCTTCCTAGAGGAGTTAAAACCTCAACCACTAACAGTAGATGTCAGGAACAGTAGATGTCAGGAACAGTAGATGTGTAACGTTAACGTGCTTCTACTATTAAAGTAACTTACCTGGAGCGTCTACTCAAATCAACTGGCCGATATTATGATTGACATGAAGGTCAGGCCCTCTGAGCCAATCAGCACGTTCATCTGGGGCACGGTGGGCGGGACAACATGTAGATACGTTCTTATTAAAAATGTATTAATTTATAAAATTATAATAAATGAAAGTGAATAAAATACATTAAAAAATTAAATTAAAGTTGATTTTTTAAAATTAGATTTCTACTGAATGCCAAAAGCTGCAGCACCAGCCTTCAATTTACTGTGTTTGTGTACTTGTATGTGTGCATAAAATGATTTAATCCACAGGCAATATGTTTGCTTTTATTTCTTCAATGAAGGCAAAAAAATAAAAAAATAAAAAAACAGTGAAAGAAATTTTCATTAGGGCAAATGTTTTCCCAGAGATTAAAAATGCATCAAGCATTTGTCATGGAAATGCACATGGGAAATTGTGTTCCTAATTTTAGTTCCCATGACACAATTTATAAATAAAATTTTGTTTATATAACCCAATATTACAAATGATAAGGACCTTTACAATGTGACCAGCATACAACACCCTCTATCTACCTACATAGTTTAATTTTGATTTAGGTTTTTAGTCACTTAAACACAGTTGCAATAAATTGACCATACAGTTGTGAAAGTGTTTAACACTAATTCACTATAATAAGAACATTAATTGTAATTGGCCTTCCTGACAATTCCTCAGTATTTTTTTTTTTTGCAGTATATAAATGGAAGTTGTTATAGTTTTGTAAGTGTTAAGTCCACACAGCAGTATAGAATAAAAACTGAGTTATGATTCAAGATGTATAAGCTAGTTAATATGTGCATGTTTCTTTTTGATGATTAAAAGTGCTTTACAAATAATTTTAAATATCACATATAACAATAGTTGCGCAGGATACTCCATTAACCAGAAAATACAACAAACTCAGGATTATCAACCAAAAATATTATATTTATTAGACTCAAGTCATCATTTTACATTTTTATCATTCTCGTGTGTACTTGACATTTCCAGATGCATCCCGAGTTTTATTCACTCTCCTGGTGTCATACAGTATGTTATCTACACTCACCGCCCACTTTATTAGGTACACATGTTCAATCGCTCGTTAACACAGATAGCTAATCAGCCAATCACATGGCAACAACTCAATGCATTTAGGCAGGTAGACGTGGTCAAGACAACTTGCTGAAGTTCAAACCGAGCATCAGAATGGGGAAGAAAGTGGATTTAAGCGACTTTGAATGTGGCACTGTTGTTGGTGCCAGACGGGCTGGTCTGAGTATTTCAGAAACTGCTGATCTGCTGGGATTTTAGCCCACAGCCATCTCTAGAGTTTACAGAGAATGGTCAGAAAAAGAGAAAACATCCAGTGACTCAAATAACCACTTGTTAAAACCAAGGTGCGCAGGATACCATCTCAGAACGCACAACACGTCGAACCTTGACGCAGATGGTCTATGCTGCTCCTGTCAGCTATGAACAGGAAAATGAGGCTATAATTCACACAGGCTCACCAAAACTGATGAGTTGCCTGGTGCTACATTCAGATGGTCACAATTTGGCCTAAACAACATGAAAGCATGGATCCATCCTGCCTTTTATCAACGGTTCAGGCTGATGGTGGTGGTGTAATGGTGTTGGGGATATTTTCTTGGCACACTTTGGGCGCCTTAGTACCAATTGAGCATTGTTTAAACGCAACATCCTACCTGAGTGCTGTTGCTGACCATGTGCATCCCTTTATGACCACAGTGTACCATCTTCTGATGGCTACTTCCAGCAGGATAATGCACCATGTCACAAAGCTCCAATCATCTCAAACTGGTTTCCTGAACATGACAATGAGGTCACTGTACTCCAGTGGCCTCCACAGTCACCAGACCTCAATCCAACAGAGCACCTTTGGGATGTGGTGGAACGGGAGATTCTCATCATGGATGTGCAGCCGACAAATTTGCAGCAACTGCGTGATGCTATCATGTTAATATGGACCAAAGTCTCTGAGAAATGTTTCCAACACCTTGATGAAAGTATGTCACAAAGATTTAAGGCAGTTCTGAAGTTAAAAGGGGATCCAACCCGGCACTAGTGGCCAGTGAGTGTGTGTGTGTGTGTGTGTGTGTGTGTGTTTGTGTGTTTACGAGGCCATCCAGATGAGGAAGGGCAGCTGGACGGCCAGCAGAACGGAGCAGGTGGTCACAGCTCCCAGGTAGAGGAGCAGGCACGCCGCCAGCACCGCCGACACCTTGGCAACACGCCGACTCAGCAACAGCTTCCTCACCGTCTTACAGAACTGATGAAGAGGAGGAGAAGAAGAAGAAGAAGAAGAGAGGGGGGAGTGAGAAAAAAAAGTCAGGGGTTGCTGACACGAGAAAAAGAATTTGAAAAAGGTCGTCAAAATAGCGACCAATTAGATTTCTGTCAATCAACTAATAGTTTCAGCTGCTCTTGTAGAAACTGTTAGTTTGGTAACATCATATATATTTTGAAAGTAACTGAAGCTGTCAAATAAATGTGGTGAAGTAAAAAGTACAATATTTCCCTCTGAGGTGGAGTAGAAGTACATTCTTCTGCTGACATTTTATTTGAGAATTACAGAACATTTGGACTTTTATTTATTGATAGTGTGTTGTGTTCAGTCTATATCTATACATTAGACATTTGGACACCTGTGTGTTTGTGTGTTTAACTGTAATACATGCATGACAACACTTTTCTGCAAACTGATTTCTCCTACACACAGACAAAGTGTTTTCATTAATCAGTGTGAAGCGGCTTTGTGTGCTTGTTCAAAGATGGTTGGTGCAAAAACCCTATTTAGTATAAAGAGTTTTGCAAGAGATGTATGGTGTTTTTGTTTATATGGTTTTGTGTGCAGAGTTTTGCAAAAGCAGCCCATAGATTCAAAAAATGTGCCTAAGCCATCAGAAAGAACTGTAACTCCATTACAGAGTTTACAGTTAAAAGCATAGAACCACTAGATGGAGTCAGTACACTGTCTTGCTGTAACGTTCAGAGTGAGCTTCAGTTCCTACATCAGTATTATCAGTAATCAACTTGAATTTTCTCTCAGGGATCAATAAAGGATCAGCTACACTGTTAATATCTTATTCTGCTGCTATCTGAACGACTCATGACTTCAATCACTGTAAATCTTCTGTTACTCTTGGAGAATCATTTATGAGATGAGATGCCTATTTCCTCTGCACTTATCAGTGGATTCTGTGTGTTCAACGTGTGTTGACGCTGCCTAAAATAGTGGTAAATAGTGTCGCTGTGCTGTTATACGATGCAAGCAGCAGTATAAAGATGGTCTGAAAGAAATTTCCCAACTCACACACCTAGAGACGCTCAGTGGTGGGAAGTAAGTACGCACAGAAACAACAGAGCGTTCATTGAGGTGACTGTTGCTGCAACAGGGAGGCTTAACCCGGTTACAATGGAGGCAGGTCTGATCTGGGATCAGCATTAATCTGCAGCAGCTACAGTACTACTGTGTATCTACAGTATATCACTCTGTGTATATACATTATATCACTCTGTCTATATACATTATATTACTCTGTGTATATACATTATATTATTCTGTGTATATACAGTGTATTACTCTGTGTATATACATTTTATTACTCTGTGTATCTAGAGTATATCACTCTGTCTATATATATTATATCACTCTGTGTATATACAGTATATTACTCTGTGTATATACATTATATTACTCAGTGTATATACATTTTATTACTCTGTGTATCTAGAGTATATCACTCTGTGTATATACAGTGTATTACTCTGTGTATATACAGTGTTTTACTCTGTGTATATACAGAATATTACTCTGTGTATATACATTATATTACTCGGTGTATATACAGAATATTACTCTGTGTATATACAGTGTATTACTCTGTGTATATACAGTGTATTACTCTGTGTATATACATTATATTACTCTGTGTATATACAGAATATTACTCTGTGTATATACAGTGTATTACTCTGTGTATATACAGAATATTACTCTGTGTATATACAGTGTTTTACTCTGTGTATATACAGTGTATTACTCTGTGTATATACAGTGTTTTACTCTGTGTATATACAGTGTACTACTCGGTGTATATTACTCTGTGTATATTACTCAGTGTATATACAGTGTATTACTGTTTGTTGTGCAGTGTCACCTGAAACGTCTGGAAGCTCATGGCGGTGCCATAGCGACAGTACATGACGAAGTGTTCACAGTTGTACCACAGCAGGCTGTAGGGCACGTGGCCCTGCAGCTTCTCCGCCCGCCTGGCCACCTCATCCCCCTGCAGCGCCGCTCGGCTGCACACCTGGACGCAGGAGAGGACAGTTAGTTAGCTGCTGTTACTGCCGTACTACCGCTACTCCTACTCCTTCACTACTGCAGCACCACTGCTACTCTACATCTATACATCAAACTACCAAAGGCTGTAAATCATCTCCAACTTGAGCAGCTACAGCAATGACTTGCACAATAATACACTGGTATTAATGAAATCTAAAAAGGATCATTCTGCAATATGACTTTTTAAAAGTCTTACAAGTATTTTTTGTTAGTACTTCAGTACTTTTACTTAAGTACAGTAAAAGTTGCCATGCAGGTCTTTTACCTCTAGTGAACATTATTGTTTTTCTAATTTTACTTCACTTTTACTTTTACTTGACTACACATATTTACTGGAGTAACAGCAGCAACAGCAAAGCACCACCTGCACCTGGTTTGAGCATCTCTAAGGGAAAACCTCCATCACCTTGTCCATGGTGTTGACGAGTATCTGTGATCCGTAGGCGAAGTCCTCCACTGAGTCCACCCTCACACTGCCACACTGAGGAGAACACACATTTATACTTGATGTATTGATGCTTGGTACCTGCGGCCATAGACCAGAGGTTCCGCTACTTTACTGGATTTTGAAAACTTTCTACTTTTCTTCTATTCGATTTAAGATGGAGGAGGTAAATATTGTTCTATTTGTTCCACTAGATTTCTGTTTCAGCTGGAGTTCATGTTCCTCCCTGCTTCTTCGCTTCTTTTAGTTCTTCCCTGGGAGTCAGTCTTCCTTCCTTCCCTCTGTCCTCTCAGCTCTTAATTATTTCTTTCCCACTTTCCTTCCCCTTGTTCTGCAGGTGATCTGAAGCCACAAAATCCCCCCCAACTAACTTGGAGTAACTCAAGGCCCTCTTAGCTGTAAACCACATCTCACTGTCTCCTTCAGCAGATGGAGTTTGTTTGGTTGTCACAGAAGATTTACTGTAAAGATTAGTAACTCTTCAGCACAGTGAGTTCATTTACTTTTGATTCTTTCTGCTGCTACATTAAAGGATCTGCGTTCTTCTTCCACCACTTTCGACACCGTTTGTGTTGCACAAAAGAAATGTCTGTATAAATGCATTTGTCTCACCAGCCTAACAAAGCACAGCGGAGCTGCTGCACTGAACACTCTCACATCCCCACAAACTCAGCTGGTGCCGTTTCAGCTAAATAGCTGTAAACACCTTCTGAAGATCTCGACCCAAAGAAAATGTCAAACTGGAACTGCTAAGATAAGATCATGCCTCACAGAGCAGATCCTGGGATGAGCAGACGGGATGTTTTGGTACCTTGGCCAGTACTCCCAGGAGGAGCCTGCTGTTGGTGACCATCTGTTTGATTTGAGTCTGGTCACTGGAGACGACGGGCATGATGTCGGGGATGAAATGAGCTACTCTGGGGAGAAGGAAAGGAAAGGAATCAAGAGGAAGAGGAAGAAGAGGGATGAGGAGAAACAGAAAGAAAGACAAAGGCAGCGATTTGGATCAGCATGACTCAAATTTGAGCTCAAAATACATTTAAATGTCCTTTCTGAGGATGACTTGTGGGTAGTAATAACATCAGCATCACTGAAGCTTCAGACTCACCTGCCTCCCCCCAGGTAAATCCCAAAGTGTGTGAACAGAGTCCTGGGAACCTCCAGCAGGTCTCCCCTCTGGAGCTTCAGCTCGCACTTCCTGTCTGTCCTCCCCACTGTCTCTCCATCTGCCTCCTCTTCTTCCGCCGGCCTCTTCTTGTCCTTCACATCGTGTCTCTGCGTGGAGATGAAGAGCAGAGCGAGCAGCTGCAGGGGAAACATGGCGAGAGAAGGAAAGCGAAGCCGTCACCGGGTGGTTTTTATTCTCTGGCTGGGAGGGATTAGTTAATGCTGCCACGGCTGGTCCGGGATCAGAGCTGTGTAGCTTTAGTCCGCACCAGCTGAAGGTCTTGATAGAAAAGCAACAGTTTTAGCAGAGAGTTAGCAACAAATATAGTGAACGAGCAGCATTTCTCAAAGTGAATATTGTTTAAAACACACCTGCTCAGGATAATGACGTCATGGCAGAGGTGGAGGTGAATTCCTGCACCACATTTAGTGAAAAACCAGCATTACAGTGCACAAATACTTTCTATCACAAGTAGAAGTCCTGCTTTTAAGTAAAAATTTTAAAAAGTACCGACATTAAAATATACTTTAAAGCAGGCTGCCAAAAGAAAAAGTACTCATAATGCAGAATGGCTCATTTCTGAATTACATATTTTATATTATTGGATCATAATTAGTGATGCATTTATGTCTTCATCACTTTGGTGTTGCAGCTGGTAAAAGTGAAGCTAATTTACTTTTTATTTAATTACTGGGTGGCTTAATCAATAACACAGTACATCATAACTTACATGTTGATAATATTTAGTCTTAATAATCTAAAGTAACTGAAGTTATCAAATACACATAGTGGAGTAAAATAGTTTGATGTTTTTCCCTCTAGAATGTAATGCAGTTTAAGTAAGTACAAGCAGCTCAAATGAAGTGCATCTTGCAGAGTGGTGAAAGTAGGACTGCAAGGTAAAGGTACTTTATTGTCACGTACACATTCACAAGCAGCCAGAGCTCAGGGAGGCAGCTAAGACTTTCTCAGAGTTTTGCTGAATCGCGTAAAGCTCTGAACAATAGAGAGCTGAGGATTATTACAATTAAGCAACTTCACTGTGACCATTTCTCAATTAAGTTCACACTGTGTTTCTCAACAGCAGCACAGAGAGGGAAAAGGATTATGAGACGGATAAGGACAAGGTGAACACAGCATTTCAGACTTTTATAGCCTACGTATTGCTGACGGAGTATAAAGTACACTCACTACTTCAGTATGAAAGTCCTTTTTTTTTGTTCCTCCACTGCATTTGTTTTCATATTAATCTGCTGAAGGAGGAGAGTTTCTCTGAGCTCACCTTCCTGCAGGGTTTATGACATCACAACTAGTTTGGAGCCAATCACATTCCAGTATCAAACTCACACATATGTGAGGTCGAGACTTGAAGCCTCCAGGTCCCAAACACAGAGAGTGGACTGTGACCAGCTGTTAAACGTTTTTTCACCAGGGAGGAACCACTTTCTTTTGCAGAAAAAAAAACATTTGAGACTGAATTATAATTCAAAGCAGTGTTTCTGTGTGTCCTAAAACATACTCGAGACATGACCTCTGACCTCTGGGTGTCCAAAGACAGAAAATTCTAAAGAAGTTTAAATCAAAAAGAGAATTTAGTGGGTTTTTTGTTTCTGATTTCACAAGATGTTTCTGTGCCAGGTCACTGCTCTGCACTGTGAATGTACTCTGTGCAGGACACGGCTTGCTGTTCATGCTGTTGTAATTCCTAGAGTCTGCCAGTAGAGGGAGATGAAGGTCACAGATGTACAGGAGGACTGTACTAAATATTTCCATGAGTAAGACCCTTTCAACTGTCCTGAAATGTGACTTTACATCTAAGAAACTTCAACAAGAGATTATTGTGGAGCACAAAATATAATTTAAAATATATTATAATTATATTTAATAAATTTTATGAAGTAATTTTTACAGATATGTAATTCGCTTTACAAAATAACCTCCAGTGAACACGTAATTCTAAATTAATTATCTTTACATGGAAAATATATGGAATAAAAATGTGAAATTTCACAATACTACTTATCCTTAATTATCCTGGGGGGGGGGGGGGGGGGGGTGTTCAATCTTTTGCATGTTTAAATCTCTAAAGAAGCATTGTTGTTAGTTTGATGTACTTTCTGCACAATCTGCTACAAAACAATGACTAAAACTGTGCTTGCTGCACAATGTTCTGAACAAGAGCTATATAAACACAAATTAATGTTTATTAATATTTTGGAACAGTCTCCTTGGTATTTTACTGCCCTTTACAGCACAACGTGGCCCTGAGGCAACACTACACTCCCTCGGTGGAGGAGTGACCATTTTAATAATTGATACATTATCAGACTTAATCCCTCAAATAAATAGGATGAAACTGTCACTTTATGAAAAACCATCATGTGTGCATCAGTAGAGGGTTATAATCCGTGTGTATTATTAGGCTATAACCAATAAGATGTTGCTGAAAAAGAATTAAAATTTCACTTATTTATTGCTTTATTATTTATCAAATAATTAAAATAAACTGTAAATATCAGAGTTCTTTTAGGATTCTTCTGTTTGTAACCTTTTCAATTTCTAAAGAAACCTACTGATTTTAATGCCAAATGCTGCATTTAATTAAAATTGTCAAACTGAAGGTCCAGTTCAGACAAATAAATGGTTTGATTTACCAGAAAATTACTGAGAGGACCAAACAAAAGTTGAATTTCAATACAAAGACCAAAATTTAGCGTTAGCTGTTGCTCCTCTTCACTGATGACGACTTATATTATTGCCTCAATTTAAACTTCTCAGAGTCACAGAATTCAACAAGTCCTTCGTAATTCCACTTCCTTTATTTACATATAAAACAGAGTATAAAGTGTTACAGAGTCATAAAAAATAAATTCTGTACAAAAGTTTGTGACTGTTAGAGAACAATCAGGTTGTGAAAGGATATCTACAGATATTTACAGAAGAGCTTCACAGTGCAGATGGGCTATACAGAGATATTCTGGATGTGTCCCGTGTGCTTTAGTACCGTCAAGATGGCCGCCACAGAGTCAGAGTTTCTCAGTGTAAATATGTTAAAAGGTGTAGGGTGTTCATTCTAGACCTTGGAAACAGTAGTTTTTCCAGGGCTTTCAAGGACGCGGGATGCAGTTAAAAGCTCTGGAAAAAGCTGGTGAGTCAACCTTAGTTTCGGGCTCCTTGAAGAGCCAAGAAAAGTTTAAAATTTTCTCCAAATAAACTACAAAAAAAAGCAGGTTTTCTTTCCTTTTAAGGAAGTCGTTTAAGAGTTGATTTTTTTTTAGAAATAAGAGGCTTTCGCAGGACTGCAATGTGAACTGCTGGGTAAATAAAAGTTCATTAATTTATTTGTCAGAGACCTGAAACGTCTCATTCATATATACTCTGGTTCAAAAACAAGATGTTCTCAGTATTTCTGCAAGTAAATATAGAATAACACCAGACTTTGCTCTCCCAGTACCGCCGCCTGTTTGTCTAACAGAAGCTTTAAATGACATAAACTGGCCTGATTGGACAGATTGGACAGCCAATCAGGACTGTGATGCTTTTACCTGTGTCTTTATTAAAAGACAGCTCACATTATGTGAAAGTGAAATACTATAACGAATCCATCTGAAGCAACACTTTTAAACTGGTCACTCCGACTCTGCGGTTTCCAGACGTGTCATGTGATGTTGGTGAAATGATTACGAGTGACAAGCCGCCATACTGGAAGACGACAAAGGTTATTTCCTAAAATGACTCCTTCAAAACAAAACCTGCAGCTTATTACATGATCTTTGGTCTCTTTAACACCGTATTTTAAAGTTTAAAAAACACCTTTCACTGTTTTAAAGTTGTTTCTAAGTGCTCACCACCTTGTGGGTGGGACTAGGTGATTTTTTGTCTTTTCTGCCATTTTAATGTATTTCTTTTTATTGGTTCAGTCCTGGTTGCTAATGTCGCTCACCCTAACTACGCTGATCTTCTTCTGTTCGTTCTAAACTACAACAAGAGTGTTTAGGTTCAGTCACTATTGCGATATTAACAATAAAATGTAGTGCGATAACTACTTCCTGTCTTTCGATCTTCCAACATGGCGGCCCAGCCTGAATTGAGCCAGCGGTGAGTCTCAAACGCTGACGCCGAGCTTCTAGCTGCACATCCATAGCGTGAAGGGGATGAGGAGGGTGGGCAGGGCGGTGCAGGAGGATATACCCAAACACACCATGGACAGGAGTCCCAGCAGCGCCGTCAGGACAATGTTACGCTGGTCCTGGATCAGCGACTTCAGCCACTCACAGAACTGCAAGAGGAGAAACATTTAAATTGTTAATTTGAAAGAAAAACAGATTAGATTTTTGATTGTAATTTCGCTTGATAAACAACTTAAACAATTATACAAATCATCAATATTGATGGGCTACCTCTCATCCAGCTTTAGGTACACCTCGTTTTCAAAGGTAGGAGCTCTAATGCTTAACCTTTAAGCTAACACAAACAAGAAGTACTTAAAGTGCTGAAATGAGCCACTACACTCCGCTGATGAAGACCATGTGATATGGTCGAATGCTCCGGGGGGGAAGGACCGCTTACTTATGCAGATTTCTCTTTGTGCTTTTCCAAACATTCCCTTCTCTCACTGAGCTAACTTCTTGTAAAAGCATCAAGAATATAATTGACCTGTTCTTTATTTTACTTTGGGCCCCCCCTGAGGCCCCTGTAAGAGCTCACGTTGCCCCCCCCCCCCGCCCCCAACCTTTTTTAATGAACCTGTAAGAAGCAGACTTGGCTCCTGGACTGCAGGCAGGTCAAATGTTTAGGTTAGCAGTTACAGGAAGTGAAACTCGATGAGGGGAAGCTCTCTCTGCAGCAGGAGGGTGAGCCACAGAGTCTGAGTGGACAAACGGGCCACACGCCCCCCTCACATCCCCCACGTTCCTACACTCAGAAAGACGTCCGCACACTAAGTTAGAGTCAAACGCCCAACTGTGGTTCTTTCTTGCCGATGGTCTGTCTTAAAATGTAATTTTATCACAGGTACAAATATATAATCTGCATTACTGTACTTGAAATAAACTAGTTCATGAAGTCTGGCCAACTTTAAATTAGTTGAACTGTGACCCTGAGTTGTGCTGACTCCTGCAAGAACAACTGAAGGCTGCTGAGATAAAAGATGGATGACAAATTAGCAAAATGTATTTTTAGGAAAATGTTCGACTTTGCTTTTTTTGTGCAATTGCCGTTCAATATATTTACATTCTGGGATTATCTCTCCATACAATTAGTGGTAGTCCGCCAATGCTTTGCTGGGTTCAAATGACCTACAGACGAATGAGGGTTTGACAGGAAACTATGTGTAATCCAGTGTTACTGTTTGTAATTTGATATCAGCCTCACTTTTTCCTCTCCTGCAGCTGTATCAGAGCTGGGTTGAGTTTTCTGCTAACGCTAACACAACACTTCCTTCTGCTGCTGCTGCTTCACATTAAAGGTACTGGATGAACATGGCTTGGCTTTGATTGTGAAGCAGCCACAGGACACACAATGCTTTTACTTGTTGCTGAGCATCTACAAAACAAGACGGCAACGGCAATTTAGATGACATTGTTGTCAGCTATTTACAGAATCGCCAAAGAGTCTTTGAACCACCTGGATGAGGAAAAAAACTGTCTGCTGAGTGATAAAAAAAAAACATTTAATACCATTTCCCAAGCTGTGCGTCTGCTTAAAAACCAAGACAAAGATGGCAGCCCACCGGCTACCAAAGTCTTAACTTGGGAAACGGGTCAAAGGTCTTTTTTATTATTCAGTGGACGGATTATTTTTTCATCCAGATGGTTAAAAGTCTTTGAAGAGTCTGGAAACCCCCTTTTAAACAGCCTTCTGGCTTTTTCAAACATCACCGGTTAATTATCTTCTAGAGAAACTGATGGTTACGTCTGAATGTATGCTGACAGATGAGAGACACAAACCGGGGCTCAGTGCCCTCCTTCATCATCATCAGTCGGGATTGACTCTGACTTGCTGCTGCGGTTTTGGTTCCTGGCAGGGGGCTCCGGTCTGAATGCAGCTCTTGTTCTCTCTCTGGACTTTTCCGAGGAGAGGCCCAGATTTTCCTCTTGTTTAAAAACAGTCTCACAGGCTGAAACACTCCCAGCTTCAAGCTGAGTACAGAATTTGACCCTCCTTTTAAATTGTAATCTTTTACACCTGAGCAATAAGACGGTGGAAGAAGTAAACAGATCATTTACTCAAGTCAAAGAATCATCACAACTATGTAAAAATTACTCCATAAGTACATTAGTATTATCAGCTAAATGTAGCCTACTTAAAGTATTCCCTCTGACATTATTACATTGTTAATACTGATGCATCAACGTTAGGGCTCACTCTAACATTCACTGTTAAGTAAAGAACTGATCTTTACTCAAATCTGTATTTTGCAAGCCCATCATATGGTTTTATACACAATCTTAATCTGAAAAGTTAGTAGTAATAATATCTTTCAGGTAACTGTAGTACAGTACAAAGTACTGATAAGTAGTGGATAAGAAGTATAAAGCAGCAGAAAATGGAGATAATCGAGTAAAGTAAATCTTAGTTCAACACCAAATCTGCTTGTAGAACATCTGTAATAGTTTTTTTTATTTTAGGTTTCTGTAAAACAGATATCTTAAGACATGGGACACTTTTATAAAAGCAGCAATCAGATCTGTGGTTTCCTGCATGGGGTCATGTGCAGGCTATGATCCATTTTAATTTCTCTACTTCCACAAACGGTTCGCTATTCTCCCCCAAACCTCCCCCACAGGAAAGCACTCCCTTTCAGACCTGATGCAGAAAATAGACACACCTTCACAGATCTCGACAGCAGCCCGCGAACAGACTACAATTACAGCCTAATCCAGAACAGACCGGTCTTTCTGCAGTTTCCGAGGCTGCACGATCCGACACACTGCAGCAGGCCACCCTTTGTTAAAGCTCAAGGGTGCGTAAAAACGCACGTGTTGGGGTCGCTTCACTAAACCAGAATAAAAAGTTCTGCACCTTCAGATACACCGAGATGAGTTTAAATTATTGTGTGTAATAAATGTGATTATAGCAGGTGGGAAACACAAAGGCAACTTGCAGGAAGTTTAGATGCAAAGTAAATGAATGTTCCACTAATGCAAATTTATTTAACGTCTTCAGATTGAATATATGCTGCTTCTTGGTTTAGATTATGTCTCCATTATGACGTTTAAACCGCGCAAGAACAGCTAAAGATTTGCTGTTATGAAGAAACGCCATCTGTCTGCGGCGCTCTGCACCACAACAAACTGCTGTCACTCTGCGTGGCTAGTGTGAAAATGCTGAAAGTGCATCAGTGTGAAAAGTAGAAACCAGGAAGAACCTTAGATCGATTTAACTTACGCGCGCAAGACCTACATCAAAGCATCCGCCTGCAGCCCTGCGCGTAAAAACTGTTAAAGCACGCGTAAAAAGCGCCACCCGGTGCCGGATTCTCACCTTGTCGGTCTGCAGGCTCTGCGCCGTGCCGTAGCGGCAGAAGGTGACGAAGTGCTCGCAGTTGTTCCACAGCAGGCTGTAGGACACGGCGCCGACCAGCCGCTCCGCCCGCCGGGCCACCTCCTCTCCGGACAGCGGACTCCGGCCCACTGCCCGGTCCATGGCGTTGAGCAGGATCCCGGATCCGTACGCGAAGTCCTCCACCGAGTCCACCCGGATGCTGGCGCGCTTAGCGAGCACCCCGAGCACGAGCCGCTTGTTGGTCACCATCTCCTGGATCTGCCGGCTGTCGGCGGTCACCACTGGCAGGATGTCCGGGATGAGGTGCGCCACCCGGTTGTCGCCCAGGTAGATGCCGAAGTGGATGAAGAGAGTCCGCGGGACCTCCAGCAGGTCTCCCCGCTGGAACTTCTGAGGAGCTCCGGCGGGCTGCGCAGGAGGTTCATCCCGGTCACAGCGCCTGGTGAGCGGCGGGTCTCCGCACTCTTTGCCCGGAGGAGGCAGAAGGCTGGAAAGCTTGATGTGGGCGAGGAGGAAGAGCTTCTGCAGGAGGAAGGTGAGCGTGTCCAGCATGACTACAAAACACCAGAGGAGAGAAAACTACAGAGGAAGAAGAAGACGGAGATCTGTCTCTGTTTGATTTCTGTTTTTGGGTCCCTCCTCTGGCCTCTGGTTCCCTGTGTGCCCCCTCTCTACGGTCTGAAGAATTTTCCTCCTCCAGGGATATTTGGAGACTGGAGGGAGGAGGACCGCGTGACGTCATGACCACAGAGACAGACTGGATGAGGGGGGAGAGAGAGAGAGAGAGAGAGAGAGCGTAAAAGTGAAAGGAACAGAAAAGGGAGGAAAATAAACACACTGACATCGAGATTTACTAAAGAGTTGCTTGCCGAGGTTCAAACAAACCTGACTTTGTTTTATCAGAAAAAGGTTACCTTTGCTGTAACCACCACAGCTGTGTTAGCAATAAATAAAACAGATATGGACGATACAGTTATTCACTAAAACGGCAATGTTAGGCTATATAAATGTTATATTTAAAGCACATTTCATTCAAATGAGTAAAAACAGTTCAAAAGCATACAGCAACAAGAAGCATGTACAAACAAAAGGGTCTCTAGCTGTGCTGACTTGAGTTTTATCCCAGCAACAGATCTTCTGTTCAACAAAATCCAGGTCACTGCAGTAAATTTAAATGAGTTTGTGACCGCAGCTCACTCTGCAGTCAACAGGAAACTGGACACACTGAACCACCTGGACGTCGCTCATTGCAGCCAACTGCCTCGACGCGCTGGGTTACGGAGGTGAAAGAAGGCAGTCAGGGAAGTTTGTTTTATGTGGGAGTTAAAGGACTTATTCTGCAGGATACTGAAAAGGAGGAAAATAGATGATAAAGCAGGGTAGGCTTTAGGGCGGGGATGTCACAAGAACCGATACACCAGTACCAAGTCCATACCAAAATTCTGAAAACATGGTGATACTGGTTTTGCTAGGTACAGGTGGTACCGGAGATCCAACATGTGGAAATAGCGACCAGTACAGCTGCAGCGACAGCTGCCTCCAGTCATCAAATAGAGAAGAGTATGCAAACCGGGGAAGTTAGTTAATGACTTTCACCTGTGAACTCCCTCCCTGATCGTTTGCCTGTGCATTTAAACCCTCAGTTCAGTTCTTGTCGTCAAATGTTGAGTGTTCCTGCCTGTTCTTTATTTCATGGATTTATTCCTGGCGTTTGGATTATTTCTCAGCCCTGTTCTGGATAATTACTCTGTCTGTTTGGAGATGCCTTTGTTTGTACTTTTTACCTGCTGTGTTCCTGAGTAAGCCTGTTTAAAGTTGCTAAATAAATCTTTGGTTTGAACCGCATCCTTCTTGTCATCATCTGCATTGAGTCCACACTTCAGTTTACTGCTTATTTCACTCTACTAACCACAACAGAGATTCCTCAAAGTGGAGCAGGAGGACAGGGGTGGTGCCATCTAAATCTTTAGATAATGTGTCTCTGAGGTGTTTGGCCCCCCAGTACAATAGCTTCAGTTTAAGAGAAGAAAATTGCAGGGCATCCAGGTTTTATATTTACATACATTTAGCTGACACTTTTTATCCAAAGCGACTTACAATTGCTATACATGTCAGAGGTCACACGCCTCTGGAGCAACGAGGGGTTAAGTGTCTTGCTCAGGGACACAATGGTGGATGAGTCACAGTGGGGGATTAAACCTGGGTCTCTCACACCAAAGGTATTTGTCTTATCCACTGCTCCATCATCACCCCATGTTTACACATACTGGCTTAATCAACAGATATAATTTGGTATCATCTGCATAACAATGAAGGTTTATGTCAAGTTTCTTGATGATATAGCCTAAAGGAAGCACACATAAGTTGAATAGGATTGGTCAACTTTGGCGTGCATGGAGGATTCATCGTTGTACAAATTGAGACTTATCTGATCAATTGGGCGTAAACCAGAGGGAAATTCAGATCAGGCTCTCCGGCAATCTCTGATGTGGTCAGAGCATTCTGACTTTGTGCAAAGGTACAAGGTGTAAGCTGAACTGCAGCAGAGATCCACACAGACTTGCAATGTGTGGATGAATGGTGACTGTCAGAAGAGCTATAAATAGACACCGTGCACACAAACATGAAGCAAATAGTGCTATATTGCTCAACAAATGTTTCACAAGGGCCAGACAGACTGTGAGCAACTGGAGTGGAATATTTCACTGGCCGCTGATTTAGCATGGGAGGATCTGGGGCTGTGGGTTACAGCTAGTATGGAAGACCACTGGTGGCAAGAAACGCAAACATCAGCCGGCCAATAAAAAACAATGTGCACTAACATTCAATGCAGAAAGAAGTTCAATTAGTGTCAAAACAAACACACAAAAAGTAGTTTCGTCTATAAAATAAAAAAAGCCAATTATTTTAAAAGTCGACAGCTAATCGATTAATCCTTGCAGCTCTACTGACAGCTGACTCACATGAATTTGCCTTCAACTCTGTGGCTCAAGCAAATATGAGAGAATAATGCTTGGAGATTAACTGGTAGTAATAACGCATGGCTATCGTCCATGTAAGGAACCAGACGAGGTTAACCTGAAGGGGGGGGGCACTGTCATATGCAGATAATGTTGACCAACAATCCTTATCCTTTGCGGGGTCCCGGGGGGCTGGAGCGATCCCAGCTTTTGCTAAGAGGTCACCAGTTCATCACAGGGCTGACGAGATAAACAACCGTTCACACCTAAGGGCTCCAGTGAACCTATAAATCTGCATGTCTTTGGAATGAGGAACATGCAAACTCCACACAGAAAGACCCAAGCAACTCAAACCCGGGAACCTTTTTTCTGTGCAAGCCCCTGCACCAGCATGCCGACCTTTAGTGCTGGTCCTATTATCTTCTTTTGGGTGCCAATCACAGTGAGCCTGCAGCACTATCAACAAGATAAGGCAAGGCAAGGCAAGTTTATTTGGATAGCACTTTTCAACATCAAGGCAATTCAAACTGCTTTCCATAAAATAAAAACAACACAGGGAAATAAAAATGTCAAAAGATTTAAAATTTAGTATACCTGTTTGTTTACCCATAATCCTAACAGTTTTGAAGAATCTTAAAATTTTTTCTAAAATGGTTTATGAATAATCAGGCTTTCCACCTTCCATTTTTTTATTTCCCATCTCTCACACCAGTCAAACCTGATACCTCTTTATCATACGGTATTTATATTTATTTCCTCTATTTGTGCTCGACACTGTGAATCCAGATTGTTTGCGC